GTAATTCTGAGTGTTTTATGTGCTGCAGAACAGGAACCTGCTGTAAAACAGCAATTATGCTGAGTCAGGCTTGATTTTTAATAATTTTTTCCTGTTAAATAAATAAATCAAATCAATCCTGGATATATGACACAACAAATACCAGCCTATCAAGATATTCATCTTCATTCTGGGTGCTTTCAGAAGGTGTATATATATTTATTCCTCTAGCACAGTCACCATCCAGTCTGATCACTTTAATGTTGTGCCACAGCACTACAACGCCATCAGAGATTCTTCCCCTCACCAACTCAGTGCTTCAGTAGCTACGTTTACATGGACAAAAGTAATCGGATTAAACGGCCATTCGGAATAAAAATGCGTCATGCAAACAGCCCGTTCAGATTATTCTGATCAGATTGAGCTCAATCCGAATAATTTTTAATCCGAATGAAAAGGGTGGGTTATGCCGATTGATAATCGGAATGAGGTTCATGTAAACACTTAATTGGATCATCTTATTCTGATTCATCTTTGGACTGACGGACTTTTTTTGTTGTTGTTGTGACTTGGTGCTAAATAAATAAACTGAACTGAACTGAACTGAATTGGTGCATCACAAGTTTCAACATTTGTTTCATTAAACTGTTCTGTCTTGTTTGTTTCAGTCAGGACTGACCCAGGCTGTTCGAGACAGTAAAATCTCTCTGGAACAAGCAGAATATGAGTTCCTGTCTTTTGTTAGGCAACACACACCACCTGGACAGTGTCCTCTTGCTGGTGAGTTACTTCCAAGGATCATTGCTAAGATGTGTTCACTTACAGGGTTGTGAGGTGTGAAATTTGGTCAGTTAGTGCATATTGTGCACATTATATTGTAAGAAGAGCAGTGATGGGACAAACAGCTCATTTTAGTGAACTGAATCATTAGAATCAGTTCATTAAAATGATTCATGAAAAAAAATTTGTTCACTGAATCATTCAGTTCATTTGTAATGCATGTACTCTATTAATAACAATTAACACTAATAATAAAACTAATTATTGTAGAGTTACAGAGGGGATATTATTTTGATGTACATATGTATCTTTTTGTTATTATTTTACTTAAATCTCCTCAAAACAGACCTTCCCTAAACCAGAGGTGTGTGAGTTGGCACATTTTCCCATGAAGTTGTTTGGTTATTTTCACAATAGAAGATCATTGGTGGAACATGAGTCATTTGGCCATTCACAGTCTAAATAAACAGTTTATCTTGGTTATGATTGATCAATTGACTAGCTTCCAACACAGAAGGGTTTTTCATTGGCTTTCAGTGGGAGTGCAGTGAGCGTAACAACTCTGTGCTTTATATGTATTGTATGTTTTGGTCAGTTTGGTCTGATTTGGCACCAGAAAGTGATGGAAATTTTGTTTTCTGTCTCTTTACACAGTGTGTATAAGTATCTGGTTTCATCTGTGTTATAACTAGAGGAAATATCTGGGTCCACTTAAGCCTGAAACATATTCGCTCCGACGCCGACGGGTCGACGCGCGGTCATGTGGTTGTTCGGCAGTCGTCTTCGCACAGACCTTTCATTTCCCTACGACACGCCCGCGCCGAGCTCGGGAAACCCTCCTCCCGCTGCAGCATACGTCACTGCGTGGAGTTCCCCCGCAACAGCCGATAATGCAGAAAAAAAAAGTCAGACTCGTCACTCACCTGATGTATTTCTCCACATCTGTCCTGGTTAAAGCTCCACTGTTTTTATCAGTCAGATTCCTCCGTGCACAACGTCTGTTTTATCTCCATTCATGAGTTTTTTACAGTTTGACTATCTCATAAAACTCTGCTTTCTAGTCTGGGAGCCAGTTGTTCTCTCCCACCTGAGCGCAGCACCAACAAACATGCCCACGAACTTCAGACGAATCACACATTACCGTCGACACGGGATGGGGGGTCAAAAAGTTCTGCCGGTGGGTTGTGCCAAAAGGGGCTGTCGACACGACGCTGAGAAGCCCGGTGACGTAATTTTCGTCATTAAACTGCGACAACCCGTGCCGACGTCGGCAGTTCGCAGGGGGAATGTTTCCAGCTTTAGGACTGTTCTAAAGTTGTCTTTCTAACCCTGAAATCTGTGTCATCAGAGCAGTCATCCACCAGGTAAAAACTCAAGTCACTAAGAAATGGGGTACATTTGGGTTTAAGATCAAAAGATGAACATGAGATGAGTTCCAAATGTCTGATTTTGTTTCCTGGTATTTACATGCAGATGTGTTAAAACAACTCAGGATATATCACCCACCCATTTTTCACATGAGCAAAACTGTTGGAACATGTGACTGACAGGTGTTTCTTATTGACCAGGTGTTGTCTTTTAAGATTGATTGTTCAAATATTAAACAGCTGTGYAGGACTAGTCTTCTATTTGTTCTGGGTTCAAACCCATAAAGTAGGTTTTTCTTGTTAAAGAGGATAAACCAACATGAAGAGCAGAGAGCTGTCTGTGGGAGGAACGCTGATAAAAGGAGGAAAATCAATCAGAGCCATTGGAATATAACTTTAGTTGTCCCAGTGCAGTAGTAGACACATTGCTGGTTTTTTGCAATCATTTTGGTGTCAGGAACATACAGCGGGTAAAATAAGTATTGAACACGTCACTATTTTTCTCAGTAAATATATTACTAGAGGTGCTAATGACATGAAATTTTCACCAGATGT